CTTTACAAAAACATGAAACAACTTAGATCTACATAAATAAGACATTCAAAAATCATCGAACATTGGTACTGTTTTATAAGAGCTTCTTGAAAGACCAACAGAGTGATATACTGATTATGATAAAAGTAAACTATAGAATAATATAACTAGGGTCGTCGTGTTTTATATGCAAATGATAAGTAGTAGATGGAATCAAGATTCAAAAAGATAAAAAAATATTTTACCGAATAATTATTTCTAGACTCTACAGTTATACACCCACAAATACCATATAACAATAGCCATTATGTTACGGCATAAGTATAAATTGACTTTAATAGTCAGTGATTTAGATTAAGATTCGTAAGTTTCACGTTGATTACGTCTTAGATGAAATAAATTTGATAGATTATATATGGAGTAATAAGACTTACACTTTAAGATCATAAACTATGATCGACAAAATTGATTTATGTGAATCTAATTCAAAATAGAAGCAGTAGGTCAAAAGGTTATAAAAAATGCTCATTTCTATCTGAAAAATTATTGTAACCATTGCTCTTAAAATTAGTCAATTATGCAGTAAACTATGTATTACACTCAAAGATATGATAGAAAAGTCATGTACTAAGTAAAAAAAAAATCAAATGTTGTCTCTGGATATCCCAATTAAGGGAGGTATTGACTACCTGTGGGAATAGCTGTTGGAACAGAAGAGATACCTACATATTTTATCACATAAATTGGAAATTCATTGTTAAGATGGACGAAGGAAGTTCATTGAATTTTTAACAATGAAATTTATAGACATATATGAAGTTGTATTAAAATAACTTCCAAGTTTGATATTAGAGGATAATTTCTTTTAGTGAAATTAAATAATGAATCGTTTTACGACTCAGTAAGTAAAGTTAAATATCATGGACATTACTTAAACAATCAGTATACATGATTGAACTTGTCAACTGCATATTAAAAACTTTTAAACCTAACCCCCTTTATTGTATATATACAACAATTTATACAATAATGAATAATTTTTAATATTTACTGGTTTATTTTACAATAAATTTTTCGAATAAGATAGTTTATTAAAATTTCGGAAATTAACAAATAGTTCATAGAAACTATTTTTTTAGCCACTGTCTTAGTAATCAGTCATCAAGAGATGCTAACAAAAATGATATTAAGCTGGTCTTGACATCTATTACCATTAACATTGTTTAACATTGCATTCTTGAGAATAGGGATCAAAGTAGAACAGAATAAAAGGATAGTGATGTAAATCTTAAAATTTTCAGTCAAGTTATTTTATGAAAATAATTCGTTTTAATGTATAAGGATTAGGTTGCTTAACCTCTTTAAACCATGTTATTTTTCTTTTTTTAGTAGCTAGAATACGAGACAAAAAAAAAACCAAAAAAATATTATTTGGTAGTTGATATTCCTTCACGGTGATAAATACTCTAGAACCTAAATTTTATTGATTCACAGGTAAATAAACCTACAGGTCCAAGTGAGTAAAAGCTTATTTTCGTTCAAGTGTTGAAGCGCGGTGTAAATAAAAAACTTTTTAAAATTATCATTAGTATTACTACGTATACTACTATCTGAGCAAATATTGACTTGCCATACATATCTAAGTCAAATATTCCAAATACGACCAATAGTTAGCAACAGCAATACAGTAATAGACTTAGCATTCGATCTTTTTAAGCTCCGAATGTTTACTGACTAACTAGTAGTAATTAGCTTACTTCAAAACAAGTATGTAAAGGAAGGATGGAATTTAAAATATAAACATTAGTTTTGTTATCCGAATGAATAAATTATAATGACACAAATACGTTCATATCTTCGGAACAATTTGATCTAATAATAATTATTTGGAAACCAAATAAGAGTCACAAAAGATTACATCCAATGTAGAGTAAAATTTTCGACTGATATGTACAACAGTGGTATAAGTTAAAAGTCAACCTCTGTTTCAAATTACCTCACTTTAGTTCACACGACTTTGAAGAGCTAGAGAGAAGGCTGCCATTCAGCATTTAGATGGCATGAAGTGGTTTGCTAGATTGTATCCTGCCTTGGTTTTCTAGTGCATGTTCATTTGTAACCTCTGAATAATTTTCAAAACATCCTTGTTAATGGATCGCTACATGGAATTTCTGCGTTGTTTTGGCGCTTCCTGTCTATGGTTGATAGCAGTACTATCACATCTACTAGTTTCAGTAAGGCTTCTGTAGACCTGTAAGTTATTTTTTGACTGTGACTGCTCGATCAAAGGTTCTTCAGTTGGACAGAAATTGGATGTGGCTTTAAAGATTTTCAACGAGTAAGCGAAGCAGGTATCTCGCAAATGAAAATGACATGCACTCATTACATTCATCAGCAGGGTAAATAAATTCGTAGTGAACCTTGGAAGTAATTATATGTTCCCTATGAATGCATGTTCGATGTGTTTTATAGGTGTGTTCTGTAGTTATTGGAAAATTTCAGATTTTAGGCAGTTACAGAAGATAACAGTGGAAATCACATGTATCTGCCAGCGCGATTGTTAGTTCCTTTAGATATTCGGAGCTGTTTCTGTTTAACATGTAATGTATTCGTTTGAATAGCAGAAGAATGTTCCATACACCCATAGGTAAATATAAATTTTAATTCATTTTTGTGTTGGTTATTTGAATCTTCCCATGGATGTTTAGGACTGCAATCGATCAGTCTCTGCACGAAATAGGAATCCTGTTTTCCTATAATATGTCCTATTTTTGACAGGTTTATAAACAATCAATCTCACAAAAAATGACTTTTTATGGATTAATCCCACTGGAAATATTATTTCACTGGTTATTCACGTGCTCAGACATCTCAGTTGTATGCAAACTGGCGATCTCAAATTCTTGATCCAAACAAGTGACTTCTTTGCAGAATAACAGTCAGTTTTTTGCAAGTAAGATTTACGACGACGTCTAACGAGTTTGTATATCGTGATAAAGATTATATATAACAAACTATTCACTGCGTGTTGACAGGTTTTTCGTACTTGCAGCAACACGAAAAGAAAGAGCAGTACTACCGACGCGTGTAAATGTAAGTGTCACACTCGACACGGATTAGCAGTTACCCACCGAAGACAATAGATGGTCGGGCAATATCGTGGATTGGTTGAAGTTAGACATCACAATCGTTGGGTTCCGTCTCAGTGGTCTAGAGGATAGGCGTTCACACACGGGGCCGTGGATACACACTTCTGAGGACTCCCATACTAGGACGAAATGGCCGCGTAGTGCTTTTAGATTTCCAACGGTGGCTTAAGATTGATCGACTCATTATCTCAATCAAAACTCAACAATCTCCTCAACCTTCTACTGATAATCCAATATAACTTCAAAACTTCAAATTAAATCGGCAATAGCAGTTCATGTTATGTTCAATAACCGTCAAGTAGAAATTAAAAATATAAAATAATGTAAAAGGGCTTTTCCAACTACAAAGAAAGGTGAGTAGCCAAAGCTTCCCATATATTGCTAGATCCTACTACCCTCAATTGAAAAGAAAGCCTTATCATCCCATCGACTTCAATCATATATCCGAGCTACCATGTATGATCTCATTCACAACTCACACCATTAGAACACATACAAATTCAATTCTATTCTGTCACATCACATATGTTACATTTCTGACCATAAAGACACACACACACAAATACACAATCATGTCTTTCATAGATCACCTTGATCGGAGTGAAATGACATTGACTTGATCAAACTTGTTTTTTTGATTGGTCGTACTTTTTATTTTTGCTTAGTTTATTTGTCCTCTGAAGAAGTAGCTTATACTGAGTCATGAAACGCCATGAAATTTGATTTTTCTACTCACTTGGGTATTACAAAAATGCTTTTTTTTAAATGGGTATCACATATAAGTTAAAAATGTGTACGAAAACTTTTTGTACCATCTAATTATTTTTGGAACTAGTTATTCGGTAGTTTCAAATGAACTAGAAATTTTGTGATTAAACTTGAATGTGTTTTGTTAAACCTAATTTTAGAATTCAAATAAAAAGATAGTTAAATAATACACTCTAATGACGCCAACAGCTATCAATATAAATATAATTATTAAACTGATTGTTTTTTTGTTGTTTTTTTTTTGGAAAGCAAATATTGAAGATTTAGCTGTAAGAAATATCCAGAACTTCAAATACTGAATTTAAAATAGAAGCCAGTACTAAGCTCATAGAATAAACAATAATGATACATTTCTGGACCTATACCCATGAATATTTAAAAAAAAAACGACTTTTATACATATATAACAGTTCGCATTATGAAATAAACATAGAAAAATTGAAACTACTATCAATTGCTTTACTTTTTATCCCGTTACTATACATGATAAAACAGTAATAAAAGAAGATTAATGAATGACTGATGACTATTTTATTTAAATAAATAATGTCACAATATCAGTGATAGATAAATTAATAAATCAATTAAACAGCATAATTGTTCTGTTTTACTGAATACAATTATTGAATGTTCATTATAAGGAAATGAAATAAAGTTCAGTTAAACTATCATTATTTTCATCTGGGGATAAGATATGATTATACAATTTTGTTCTGTTATATGATAGAATAAAGAAGAAATAATAAATTGTTTTCAATATGAATAAGAAATTTATAAATAATCCAATAAAAATGAAAATCTTTTACAGACATTCACTTTTATAGCATTTTGTTCAACATCTTTCTGTTAATTAATGAAATCTATTTAATACGAGTTGAGTAGTGCTGATTTCGATCTAGTGATTAGAATAAACGAAAACAAGAGGTAGTTTGTTTATTTTATAGTCAATATCTACCTTTTTGTTGTTGTTGTTGTTGTTGTTACAAACAATAGCATCATTATCATCATTATCTCCTCTGTAGAACTTTATAAATTTTAGGTAAACTATTAAGCGATAAATAGCAGAATGAGTGTGCCAATATATATATATATATATATATATATATATATATATATATATATATATAAAGTATAAATGGTGGTGGGACTGAATTCTTTTTTACGTACAACAAACATAATTGAAAGCATAAACAACTGTTTGTTTACATGGAGAAAACAATTACATTTACATTGACAATCTTTAATTAACATTACAAATGATTAACAATGAACGATAAAAAACAGAGAGTAAGTTAAATGAAATAAGATAAGAAATAAAACAAAACAAAAAAAAACAAACAAACAATTTCTTCCCTTCTTCTGCTAAGCTTAAGATGAAATATGAATCAAAATTTTCAAGATTCATTTGTTTGTTGCTCATGATATGGATTTGTATTTTCTGCCTTTTTGTTTAAAATTAAAAGAATGTTCATTTCTATGAAGTATTACTCGAATAGGATTGTAGAATAATCAATTATTTTGTCCTATTTTATATACATATATATTCAATTTGATCACAATAACTGTTGAATACCTGAAATCGAATAGACTAGTATAATTAATAATTAAATGTATTGAGAAATATAAGAACTACAAAATATCATATTATTGAGTAGATAAACTATCATTCTTCTTGATGAACGATAGTTAACAGTCGACCATATGTTCTAATTTGGAAAGTTCAGAAGTAATGAACTTATAAAGTTCGAAGATGTTGAGTAAAGTATTCATATTTAATGGTTTGTACATCTATCGTAAAACGAAATGATTGTTATATTTTATTTATTCAAGAGTATATATCTATGAGCGATAAGATATTAATAACAGTATAGTTGTTGAATATTATCATATTTATTATAGACAAGAACATTAGGTATCTATTATTTTTTATTAGACGAGCCTTAATGTTTTAGATTTATGTACATGATTGTACATGATCGATATTATTTTCACCGCTAGGAACTTTAGGAATAAAGCTAAATATTTGTATTTGGTTTCTTCGTATATCATTACTATTTGCAATAACTCAATCCGACTAATGATGAAACGTAATTTTAAATGTATAGAATATCTGTGATTTTCGGTCATAAAATGGAATGGTATTTAAAGACTGTCTATCGAAATAGTCTTTTTCTTTGTATATGACTTTAGACAATCTGACCAGTTTGAAAAAGTGCTTAAAGTCTCATTATAATGCGAATTAGTGAAGCAGTTGAGAAATTTTAAATGCATTATCATGGTAAATATACAAGGAATGAAGACTCTTCGTCTAGATAATTTGAAAATAGTTGCTCATGACTAAAAAAAATTGCTCGATGAGAAACGATAACTGTTTAATCAGTCAACACTAGTTTTTAGGTTCTTAGAATTTGTTCAGGAAACGTCATGGCTCACAAGGTAGAAAATGTGGTGACTATTCTAATTCTATTTATCTACGTTTGACCTTCTATTCTCAATGTTTAATTATTGATAAGCCTTTTGTTATCATATTTTATTATTCTTACTACTATCAGTACACCTGTCTTCCTACTATCAACTTGTACTTTTACCTAATATGTGTAATGACTTATTCTATTTCATTGTGATTATTGATCTAAATTACCTTGATTGGTTTAACATTTTTGTATAATCATTACTGTATATTAGAGTATAGCCTGATGACGATCTAATTGAAAACAACTGTTCTCTTATATGTGTTGTTCTAATTTTCATAATGGGAATCTTTAACATTCTATAATCGAAATAGTACTTCATTGAGTACGAAAGTATATACATAGATATATGTTGATAATCGGATGATATCGTGAGGTGGCTAAAATTAAAAATCCGAAAAAGTGGTCTAAATTTTATTTGATATGTTAACTGGTTTATACAAATAGTCGCACTGTAAGTGAATACATGAAATTAAACTAATTATTAAAAGTATCTGTATTACAAGTGATCTTTCAATAATAGTCTTGATTAACGTATTCCAAGCAAATTAAAATTACAATCAGCTGTCTTCATCAAATCATTCTTATATGTTATAAATGCATTTTATGTTAGCTACTTTAGTAAAGTGGAACATATAGTTGTCAAATGATTTTCTATTAGTCAATATACTGTTCAATTCGCTGTTGTTTCATTTCCATTGAATGATATTATGTAACAGAGATAAACGTTTAGAGAAACGCATAATTACAATTTATTTCGACAAAACATTGAATTAAAATTATTGATAGAAAGTCATATTTCACAAAAGCAACACTTTTAACCCGATATAATGGTGTTTATGAAAATATTACTTGTGTAGTTCTATTGTATAATTTCGTTAAGCCAATAAATATCTGTTTGAAAATTTCTATCATGTTTTGATAAATAACTGCCTAATTTAATTATATTTCTACAAGTATATGATAACAGGTTCTGATCAAGCAATGGTATCACACTTTAATTTGTAGATATATTGTGGTGTGTGCTATTGATGTCGATAGTATGTATCATTAATAGAATGTGAAATGCCTGGAGGCAGAAGGTTAAGAAGATCGAAGAAATGAGAACGAGAACAGTAAATGATTGATGTGGAAACGAATGAACAATGAAGTCTGAGACGATTGTCTAATATTTTGCAAATGAAGTATTTACTGTATAGTTCTCAGATTTTACTAAGATATTCTGTAATTTTGTGTTTAAATATATTCGACTATACCTACTTGTGTTCTCGTTCACTACAATATTAGCTATGATACAGCAGTTTAAAGGAAATGACAAAAAAAATAGGTGTATAACATCAATCAGTCATATATTTTAAAATTATCAGTGATTTAAATATAGCAATAAATGACGGTCTGTTAGAATATCGTATCCTTCAATAAAAACTAAGAATTTAAAACTAATATCCATGAAGAAAATCAGCTAAATACAAAATAAGGAGTTAAATAACCCTAAATAGAATTATTCAACCTAAATATACTCTGGAGTATTTAAACAGTGGTATGTATTTGGTTAGACAGGCATTAATTATGTAGAATTGTTTAAAGAACATGGATAAAAATTGATTGAAATTAAATAATTACTTACTGTTTCGCTAACTAAGGATTAGTTGTAACTGGAATGTTTGAAATAACATTAGTTCTAACATGTTTAGTGTGTTCATTTGACGAATATGATAATGGTGAAATTGATGATGATTGTAAACCAGCGTATTCATAATTATCTACAATTGTAGTTGTTGTTATAATTTTATCGTTTAAAAGGTCTAGAAAATCTTTGGATTTATTTGAACATTTAGCAGTTGACGGAGTTATAGAATGGAATTGTGGTAATTGTAATGTTCTTTGTGGTGCTGTAGTGTTAGATTGTGATGAACCACAGGTAGATGTGATGACTGTAAAGCATAATTCAGGATCTGAGTATAAATATGCGTCTGATCCACTGTCTGAATGATTTGTATGTTGTGATGAATGATTTGATGACAATCTATTCACATTTACTGAATTATGACTAAAAAATTCAGTTTTATCATCAGCTGATAAGGTCTGCTATAAAAATTAAGAGTAAAAATGTAGAAAATCTGACTAACTCACTGAAAAGTTTTGAAGTTAATTACGACTCCATTAATTGGATTGATAAAAAAAGATTAAAAATTAATATATACCTTAATTACTGTTCAAATTTCATTCACTGTAACATTCATGATTATTTAGTAGGTACTCATTGAACAACTACATTAAACAATCAAACATATATCCATTTAAATGATTTAATTAAGTAAAACGCCCAAGAAGTTTAACAGTACAATGATACTGACTAACAGATTATGAATATACTTTTCGTGTTAATAAATCTTAGTACTCTTTAACTTTCATATTTAATAATATAATGAGAAGTGAATAAAGATATTGTGAGCATCATTCTCTAAATCTAATATGATTATCTCCTATAAAATTAAGTTTGAAGTAGATTATTTTTATGATAGTTAAAGTGATACTTTTATAATATCTTAAAGAGTAGAAAAGCCGATTTCTTTTTTCTTAGATCATTTATAGCAAAAATGTAAGTAGCTTATCCAATTTAACACCACTTTAAATAGTACAAGATATAAATCAGGTCAAGTACTTACCACACATTTAACCAGTTTGGTCAGATTAAATAGTTTTATTTCAATGATTATCAATAAATATCGTCATGAGAAATCCTTATGATCATCAAAGTGAAACTTATAATATTTTAAAATTACTTTATCATTCAGAGAATTGGATTGAAAGCATATATTCAACTAGAAATTTTCTTTTAAATTGTTGTACAAAGAAAGGAAATATCTATTGATTTTGTATTTTTTTTTTTTTTTTGCCAAGAAAAGACCTTTATTAATTTCAAGGAATTCTTATGTAACTTTGTATTAAATGAATTATAAGAGCAATAATGATTAGATACGTCCACGGGTTATATCTTATTTATGAATTATTTGGATTTAGAACAAATTTGAGAGAACAGTATTTTTCGTGAGGCTTTAATTTAATATCTAGTAATATTGAGATGAGTATCTGAAAAATATTAAATCAATCAGGGTAATTTATGAGTCAATGGTACTAATAACAGCGTTGGATGCCGTCTCAATCAACTAGCGGTTAAGCGCTCGCATGCGAGACTGATAGGTCCTGGGTTCGAGTCACGCAGAGGGCGGGATCGTGGGCGCGCACTGCTGAGGAGCTCCACACTAGGACGAAACGGCTGTCCAGTGCTTCTAGGTTTTCCATGATGTTCTAGCTTCAATTGACTCATGATTTCAACTATTGATAATAATAAAGTAGATTGTACGGTTAAACGTAATAAGTAAAAATTACAAATTCCTACTGATATGACAGGTATACTGATTCTGATAGAAATAATAACATCAATTAATTTTATTAAGAATTTTAAAGCAGCTAATATTATACTTTATCTTTTCCTAGTCTACCGGTGATCTTTACTGAAACAAAGGACAAGTAACTTGATTTTGACTTATCAATATGTATCTACAAATTCAGTTGCTCCTGTGGAGACATCTATAATATGCGTACCATCAGATAACTTAATCATCGGATGAATGAATATCTTCCTGATTCATTTCGAAATAGTCAGACGAATACGTTACAGTCCCATTTTATCACACATGGGCGAAAGAGTTTATATGGTTCATAAAATAAAGCTGTATACTTTCATCGTTTCCCAATGGGCTTCGATATTATCTTTTAAAAAGAACAGAAGCTATTAGAATCAACCAAGAGTCCTAGTAATGTGAACTGAAGACATTTGTAGTACCTCTGTCCAATTCTTGACCGAATATGTCTTGACAAATAGGTTTATTTACTATTAATGCTATTTTCCATCTCATTTTTTCGTTTGTTTTTCTTCAATCTCTTATAAATATTGTCAACTATCTAATTATTTGAACACATCTCATTATATAATTTTAACAAATTTTATTGAATATCAATTCAACAACTAATTTTTCCGAGTTTTTTGACTTAATACATGTACCGGAACAATAACTTGAGCTTTCATTATTTCTATAACTAGTATACCTGTCATATCACTATGAATTTGTAATTTTTACTTATTACGTTTAACTATATAATCTACGTCATTATTATTATTGACTCATAAATTACCCTGATTGATTTAATATTTTTCAGATACTTATCTCAATATTACTAGATATTAGAGTAAAGCCTCATGAGAATTGAAATGAAAACAATATTACTTTTTTATATGTAATATTCTAATTTTCACAGTAGGAGTTTCCATAAGTTGTGATAACAAAGTGTTATGGAGTTTCTTAGTAATTTTTTTTTAGAACACCATCAGGAAATCATCATATAACTTACTCCTATATCGGGTCTTCGCCCACCGAAATGCACTCTTAATGATTTTGATGCTCCGATTTGTGTATTTGTCCCTTTATATAATAAATCTTTGTACTTTTCAATCAGAGTATCTGATGGTCGTTGTTGACCAAGTTCAGGTGAATGTCTATAAAATCAAATATGAAAAGATAAAGTACAGAATACAATGGCTGAATAGAGGAAGTTTATTATGCTATTTGTTGAAATACATTCACCTGTGATTTTCAAGTGCTCAAGTTTTCCTGGGATGTTAGAGATCGAAAAATAATCGTTAGATTATTACGTGAAACTTATAAGACATCTAAATACCTAACCATACCCTTTTGTCTAGAAGTCGTCCTAATACTCAAGATGAGAAGTAAGGAAAGATCATATCCAAAAGGCGACCTTGCTGGAAACAGATATTTTGGTATGGAATTTTGTTAGCGTTTAAAGTGATATGTATATGATCCTACTGAAAATTACATGTTCAACTTCTAATCAATCAGGACATCACGCAAAGATGAATTTAAAATAGACTTCAAGTTTTAACAGTTTACGATCCTATCTTTCAACAATTTTTCTCATTTTCAGATGGATATAGAAACAGCAAGATGTTTCCAGTCTTTTGACAACTGGCTTACTCAATTAATTATTTATTATTACAATACCTGTTTCACGATTTCAATGATGACTAGGTATTCAATAAGCTTTTTATTCGTAAACGAAAAACATTCCAAATCTTAGTCGACATAAAATTAGCACTTACAGAAATAAATATTTCAGTGTGCTGAAGTATATGTAGGATACGCTATCTGTGTATGAAGTCACCAGTGTTCAACTCCACGCTGTATATACTTCAAATAATATGATATACACTTCCGAAGAGTGGTAGGAATGAAATTAGCACTAACTGGTGACCTAATTGGTGCTACTAGAAATTAGAGCAAACCAATCAGTTTTAACAATGTATTCATTAAGTGCTTGAAAATAATAACCTAAAAACGTTGTTGAAGGGTAGTTATTTCAAATGTTGATTACTTAATAATAATCTGAATGATATAAATCATAGTTCTCAGAATACAATCCTCAGCGATAGGCCAGTTAGGGGTCATTATGCAAAATAAAGTTCTAAGATATCTAAAATTCACTGTAAGAAGAGTAAGGTCGACTGAAATGAATTGAATATTAGAGTATTTTGGTGAAAAAATTAAGATTGCAGTACATTACTTAGGATGTAAAATTAACAAGTTGCTTTCACAGTACATATCATAATTTCCTAATAACTTTGGATTGTGGGAGAATGATAAAAATATTTCAATAAATTTTTTTTTTGGAATTTTTCATTTCGAATTGTTGCGTGATGTAAAACAATCACCTACTAGCTGAAAACATCAAAACATTTTCAGTACCTGTATGGAATAGATGAAGGTGAGTGTAATTCATGCTTTTTATCATCAGGAAATTTAAAATTCCATTGTCCGCCTTTTTCTTCAATCGTAATTGTTTTTAAAGGGGAAAATATTTTACCCATATTATCCGAGGAACCGGGTTTTGGATGAACACCATTCGTTCTATCATGCCTACTTTCCTGAAATGAAAAATTTGTAATATTTATCTAGAGAAAATAATAAATTATTTTTCAATGGTTCACATAAACAAAATGATCTCAGACTGCTTACATTCATTTGTATATGATTTAAATAAACACTGAACAACGAGGATAGGTTTTAACTCTTCCAATTTATATTGGTACATATTGATAAAAAGTAATTTTTGTTGGACGATATCGGTAGAAATGAATGAAAAAAATTTCTTGTATACAAGTAATTGTAGTCTTCATGTATAGTGAATTAATCTGATGATTAGTAACAAGTTCAAGTACGCTAATGAAATAAACATCTTACTTCATCCAGTTACCTTCCATTACAGATCTGAACAAAGCGAGAACAACAATATTTGCAGAATACGGTGAACAGATTGTATTTAACTTGAAGCGATTTACATATTACTAGAGACTAGAATTGCACATCAAATACCTATTTAGAATATTGGTATTTGGTTAGAAGTGTAATTATACTTCAGAAGACTGCCTTTTGATCACTCAGGATAAACTGTTACCGAGACTGATGATACCATCTTTGGGTTAGAATAATTTTCGAACTAAGAAGTAGAACTTCTACATAATTAGATGGTGGTTGGAGGTAGTCGACAGGAAACCCTGGACCCGGGTTTCGTGCTACTTGGCTCTCGTCAGCTCAGTGGTAACGTCTCTGACTGTGAAGCTGGATGATACGCGTTCGAATCCGCCAGCGTACACCAGTTCCCTCAAAGATTATAGGGACATCTTGCTGACGAGTGCCAAGTAGCACGAAACCCGGGTCCAGGGTTTCCTGTCGACTACCTCCAACCACCATCTAATCTCACAATAGTGCCCGCAGTGTCGAGTCATCTAGACTGGTGGCCACATTGCAACATGATCGATAGCATTCGATCTGCACTAGTAATAAGGACTAAACACGCATGACATTGGTCACCACCCAGTGATCAATCAATTGTGACTTCTACATAATAAATATCGGAATAACGTGGCTGATTCGAATTTTGTATTATGATTATTGGTTACAAATGTGTTTCGAAGACTGACAGCAACGCTGAGTTCTAGACTTTCTGAAAAGTAGTGTGCCACATATCTTAAAGAATGATTCACTAGTGATTTCAAATTTCGTTTGCACTTTTTCACTTTTGGACCTGAAGTTTAAGGTAACCAACCTTGGTAATGTACTAAAAAATTGCTAATACGAGGAAATGTTATGTAGGCAGCATACATTATTGCTGTCTTTCAAACAAGAGTATTAATTTTGGCATTTCGACACTTTCATGTGAGATAAAAACTTCCACCTTCATAAGAGTTTTCATACATTGTTACAATACATGAAACAAAATTCGATACGAACTACTTTTAAAAATTGCTGGTTTGTCTTGGAATTACATGAGATACGTGTTTATTTTTTCTAGTGTTGGTTATTAATAAACATTAAACTAATAAAAGAATGGATATCATTTTCTAAAAAAATACAACAGTTGTTTGAAAACCATTCAGTTTAGTGTACATTCCATTCAAACATTATTTCTTGTAAGCCAAGGAGTTACGACACAGCAATAGCAAATATCAACTTACCGCAGAGAAATTGTCATGATAACTTCTTCCAACTGATGGATCACATAAACTTGTACTTCGTCTTGGTGGATAATCTGGAACTTTTTGATTCAGTCTGGAATTGTGTCCTGTTCGGCGAATATCATTTAGATCAAGTAACGCTGAAGGATTATTATCACGTGCATTAGTAGCTCCTGTACTGACAGATAAAAGTCTTACTAATGCTTCTAACTGTAACATCAAATCTGTTCGACTACGCTAAATGTACAATGAAAATAAAAATTTGTTCTGTATAAACTAAGCCAACTTTACCTTTAAAATTATTATTCACATCTACTGTAGTGTATGCTATTTAGGCTAACAGATATAAGTAGTATGTAGCAGAAATCGGAAATGAAATGCCTACCAGCATAAGATTGAATTGAATAGAACAAGAAAGGAAACAGAGAGCAATCGTAGTAACAACAGAATCGGAAGAATCATAAAGTGTGTAAAGGACAGCTGAAGGAAGATGAGGAAATATTGTATTTGATGTATGGTTTTGTTAGTTTACTTAGGCACTGTTTCAGTTTACAGCACCTGAATTTTCGAGCACTACACTACTAGTGTTAACGGACACGTGAAACAAACTTGAAGAATTTTAAAAGTGAACAACATTTGCATGATACAATTTATCAGATTCACTGTAATGGTTTACATTAACAACTTACACACAATATGGTAAAATTCCACTCGCAACTTACATATGTGGAACAATTTCCATGGAATTTTATAAAACATATGTTTTTACTGTCAATGTAAAGGCAATGAGACAAGTTGCCATATAATGGTCGGTGAATTGTATACTGATGGGTATTCTAGTTAAGTATTTGGATGTTATAATTGGTGAAATTTAATCGCAAATCAGTTACAAATATACTTCTGAGTTTCAGTGAGGTAAATTTTACCTGCTCACTTATTTCATTCGAATATTTAAGGGCGATTATAATTCTTTTGGCGACTGTTTGTGTCAAAAACTAGCTTCAGCTATACAACCACTGAACTAGTGGGCTGTTTCGTCCTGGTTTGACGTTTTCCAATAACCACGATCCTACACCAGTGGAAGGACTTAGGGCTTTTATTCTTTATGCTATCAGGACTCATTATGAAAATATTTATGATATAAAACAGACTACAAATTCGTATTCTTATATGTTTCTGTTTAGAAGCACTTTCTAAATGTGAGTTTCGAATCTTTAGCTACGACGAAATTAATTACCTGTAGATTACTCATTCTCGACTCCAATTCATCTTTTCTTTGACGCAGCGCTTGTAGATCAGCAACCAAACGAGGATTTTCTGAATTCACTGAATTTCCAACTCCGGAGGCCAATAAATTATCTGTTTTTAAGTAATGTTTTAAATTTGTCGGGCTAAGTGTACCAGCACCTTCGTCACAAACATCTTGTAACTCAGAGGAATCATGTTTGAGGGAACCAGCAGCAGCAATAAATGCTGCTTGTTTTTGCTGTTCAACTCGTAATCGTTCGATTTCTTTTAGTATTTTTCTAATTTAATGGAAGAAAACACAAATGTCACCATAAAACATTTTCCCGAATTAAATTATCGTCAAGGACTAAAGTTACACATATAATCATTTATCTCTCTACGTTGCAAAAATTATCTTGTTTATTTGACTGACAGGTCATAAACTTAACAAATGTCTTCTACCCTGTTAGTAAACGTTTAGGCAACTAGGAACAATGTCTTACTTATTCTAAAAACTGTACAAAAATTCTTATCTATCAATCTCTTTACGATTTGATTAACACCAACTGGAGTTCAACCTAAACCATGTTGTAATTTAAAAAGAATTTAAAAAAGAAATAATAACCGTGGTTGTAATATTATATCTTTATAATATAATAGGTTCTGTTATTCAGACAAGAATTCCATACATTTTAAAATCAAATATCATTTACTAAGTTTATCTATATCTTTTTACTATACGACATCACTACAATGATAGAATGCAACATAATGTCGTCATGCTTGAGTAAGTTATTCAGTGAAAACCAAATTTAGCACATTTTAACTCACAGATTATAGGGAAGTATACTAAATAAAAGTAGTGATGGAATCAATCTGATGTTTAGGAAATCAAATAGATGAAAGTATGTAACGGACCCAAATTTGTCATTGAAGGGAATAACGTTCAACACCTCAGTCACTATTTAACGAAATTACAAGTTGAAGTGTCCAGATATTTAATGATGAGTCCTGTTGTGCTTGATCATAAATTTCTTGTTTGTTATCCCCTTAAGACATGAATCTTAATTTTGTTTTTTTTTAATAAATAGCGAAATTATAACAAGCCGAAAGTTTGAAATATTGCAACTGTTAAAATGTATTGTTTAAATATATTTTTATATGTATAAAAGCGAATAGTTATCGGAATGGAACTTGGGAATATTATAAACTATACGTTAATCGAACAAACTATTGAGTTTCAGGAAAATCAGTCATTCAGTAGGTGGAACAATATGATGTGTACTTTTTTTACTGTTAGTTGTTAATGTTATGGTATTTCAGTGATTATCTTGCTAAATTACACGACTGTTAAATAAATTTTTTTTTCAGAACCCTAGCATAGCATGGACGAATGGGGAACTAGTATTTTCATAACACCTTATATTCTGACATATATACCTTTGCTTTAGTTTCATGGTTAGTGTTTAAAAGGTTTTCTTCTCTCATCAAGTTCATCTGTCATTTAATACCAATCATTGTATAAAAGAATGAGAGCTTGGTGAATAATTTTTTATCGTTAAAATGAACTTAAACGTATATGGAAAATCTGTTTATGCCTGACTTATTCAGTTGAAGATTGTCTATATGTTATTTGTTGATTAGGACATTTCAAAACTAAAACATAATTCTATTCATTAAAAGGTATTATTTTTAAATGTATAGCCATTCTCGGTTAAAATACAAAGTAATTCGATGTTCAATATGGTTGCATAATACAATTACTCATTACTATGATTACTAGAGTAGTTTGATTTGAAATGAATCAAAATGCTGTGTTTTAGTGAACAAATGTAGTAGATTGAGATTGAGCGGATGAACACATATTAAGTCAATGAGTCGCTAAGTTCCCTTTCTTGTAAAATTTATATACAAATTGATGAATGATTTAGTAAATATCGTAATATATTAGAGCTAAATTGCACAATAATTGTTATTAGTTTTATACGTAGATACGTCTTGTATCGTTATTCATTCTATAGCTCACCTGTTTTTTTCTTGTAGTTGAGCAATTAATTGTTTTTGAGTTTGTGTTGATTCAACAAAATCACCGAATTTCTGGAACAAAATGAAAACAACAATAGCCAATTAACAAATACTTCTTATGGTATGTAGCTTATTTAACAATGAAATAAGTCCCAGTATTAAAGTATCTAATAAAAATATTTGATATTGATGACATATTATTTGATCTCTTAATTTTCCTAAACACAATTATCAGTTAATGGAACCAACCCATCCTTATCATCTTTTAAACATATTTATTGAAAATATAATCTCAAAACTAGGTAAGGTTAACGGTAGATGGGCAGTTATGATTACTGATATTTTAAGTAGTTTATTTCAAAGTATCCAAAGTTCATGGTTAAAAAAATGTCTATTGATGTTAACCTATGAACCTTTTATTTAAATTTAATCCTCACCAATATCAAAATATTCATGTTAGTTCCCTAAAGTTAGTGTCTTCGTATTCTCCGTGTTCGATTGAAGGATATTATCCATATTTTTCATATATTAAAAAATTTATTAATTTTTTGTTTTTCGAACACACCTTTTTATTAGAATAATCTTTTATACTCAGAATCTACAGTTATAATTCCATAATTATTAAATTACATTAAACAAAACATTGAAGTATGCATATAGGCAAAACAAATACTGACGCAGCATGTGATGAGCTAGTCTATGTGTGTTTAAAAAATTAAATGCTCCTTTTGGGGGAGATATTGACAGTATTCATAAATCCTCATCCTTGAGCTCTCGTGAACACGTAATATGATGGTTAGGCAAGGAAGTCATAAAATATTTTAAAGATCCAATAGTTTCCCATCTGGTTCACTATGAAGACATTTTTATACTTTCACACGTGATAATCCTTTTTATTTATAATTATTATAAATGCATTATCCTTATTTTATACGATATACTTATTAATAATTGTTGTTATTGTCATTACTATTATTACCACGATAACAACGCCACAATAATTCCGATTTCGTGTTAATAGTCTTGATCTGTTAATTTGAACTCATCATCAACTTAAAGGCATCCCAATGTTTCTGCATAAATGGAGACTCGAACTTAGTATTGACTTCTTCTAGTGCCGACTCCTTACGCATTCAACTAATTAGCAGATATAGTCAGTAACCTATTCAAAATACTTGAAAGTATTTGTAAGGGTTTTTATAATCCTATTTACGAACATTCAGAATTGAATTATGATCAGTCTGTGTAGGTATATGTTAGTTGTATAATACGACCTACATTTACCTCCCAAAATACAAATACACTTGCAACAAATATATCATATTTGAGGATGTACTCTGGACGCATATGTGACAAAGGAGATTCACCAAAATTGGGTCCTGAATATTATTAACGGGTTAATACAAACTCTTATGAATAGACTTTTAATCATATTTATTTTTGTGCTAATTTTTTTCATTTATCTGCATGTCATTGGGCTAATTTGTTCCCAATTGTATTTCCACTTAGTAACAACTCACTCACAGTCTTATGTCAATAATTCTGTTACGTGAATAGCTTTGATCAGTCACGAAAAATCATATGTCTATCGATCTTCTGTTCGCCGTTTAATCAACCCGTAAAAGTACTCATCACAATGAAACCTTAAAACTGTCTTCTATAACAATGACAACCAATCATTTTTACACATTAAATCACGAATTGGTCTTAATTAAAAATTCGAAAAAAACCAGTTACTTGTATACCTCATTTTTAAAGCTTACAACTATAAACAGGGATGTAATTTTATTTCTTTAAAGTATTTGCTTACATCGAATTCTTGGTTTAACGCTGAAGCAGCAGCTAACTGGGCAGCATATCTAGCAATTAAATTATGTTCTTCATTAGATTTTTGATCCAGATTGTGCGTTTTTAACGAGAAACTAGCTCCCATGCTTGAATTATTTAAATTATCGCTATTAATCACAGATACTATGGGAGTAGATTGTATAGCTGGCTGTCCAGTTGTTGTAGTAGATAACTGATATTGTTGATTACCGCCAATTGAATAAACGTCTGTGGTAGGTTGAGAATAACATGATCTATGAAAAAGAAGGTTATACAGAAGAATTCATTTCATTAATATAAAGAATGTAAGTGAACTGTTTATGATCACCTACTAGTCTTGATGAAAATATAACGACATAAAGTTTATTTTCAGCATTACAAGTTAACATAGATTATTGTTCACAGGGTGTTTGGTGTCTTAGGTTGATTAATATTAATTATTCCAGCAATTTCGTCTCCTTTGAAACGTAAGTATAAGAAGCAAGATTTCTTTTCTACTCTATCATACTTTGCCCGAGGATTGGTTTTTGTATATTTATGGATGAATCTCACCAGATGTGCATTTTCACGTAGGCAATTAGTGGATGATGAAATTGCTCTCATCACTAATTGCCTACGTGAAAATGCATATCCGTTGAGATTCATCCATAAATATGCAAAAACCAATCCTCGGGCAAAGTATGATAGAGTAGAAAAGAAAACTTGTTTCTTATACTCACGTTTCAAAAGAAACGGAATTACTGGAATAATTAATCATAGATTAAATTCCGCATTGAAAGTGACCTACCCAGCAGCAAAACTGACGACAGTATGGGAAACGAACTGCTCACTCAAACAAACTAAATTCGACAAGTCCTCTTTTCTCAGAAGCTCCAAATGCATTTACCAATTTACATACACGTGTCAAAGCACATACATTGGAAGAACCGAGAGAAGAGTACATGTTCGCATTTCTGAGCATGTGTCCAAAGAAATTGAGGCTGCGAAGGATTAGGGCTCTCAGTGCAATAGCTCGGCATCTACTTGACACCGGGCATACCATTGACATCCCTCACGCTTTTAAAGTTATTAGCAGAAAAAAAGTACGGCTTCTCGCCGATTTGATCGCAATAAAAACACTCAGACCGGACCTGTGTATTCAAAAAGAGACAGTAATAAACTTATTACTACCCTGGTGATCCATTTTTTATTCCTTTATTTTTATTTTTATTGGCTATTAGTTTTATTAATTTATTAATTTTTGGTTTATTTGTTTTTTATTTTGTTAATGTTTAGTTTGTGTTATATTCCTCTTAACCACCCTTTTTTTCACACATTTCCGCTAACCTGATTCCCTTAAATTATGTGAAATCTCCGAATTTCTATTCAATTATTGCGCAACCCATATCACCAGTTTTTTTAAAATTCCATTATCTCTAAAATTATCGTACAACTTATCTGTCTCTGAATTCCACTCAACTATTACACTACCCATCCTCAATTCTAACACCAAATAACCTTTGATCTGTTCTTGCATATATATATATATATATATATATATATATATTCCAATCCTTTACATTCATTTATCTCAATTGTTCCATGTTATTTCTTATCTCAATGTAAAATTCCAATACATATTTGGTTGTAAGCAGCTGACGAGAAACCACGAAATATAATGAATTCATATTATTCAGCATTTATGTTTGTTCTGGCTTCATTTAAATATCAATCAGTATGCTCTTTCAACGTAGGCAGCTCTCAAGTCCTAGACATCATGACGAGTTAAGAGACTTTAAACGCTCCAAAACATTTTAGTAAATATTTAGACAAAATGTTCCCTCAAACTCAGAGAAGTATGAAGCGTAACATCAAATACCTGAAGTATAAAAAACTTGTTTAAGGCATATAGATCCACTTAGACGCTGTACTTATTCGGTTTCCCATCTATAATCTCTTCAGATAGTCTTTATAACATATTTACTTAACTTTTACAAGATAAGGCATTCGAATATATATTGGATTCAATCGTTTGATTTCCTCACTTACACTGTAACTCAGTTTTTAAACTTCAGTGAAATACTTTTTTTCGTTGTCTTTCTTATTCTTACCTAGATCTTCTAAGTTGTGAGAATGTAGGTTGACTGAATCATATAAAACTCCTTTCAGTAACAAAACAAATATCAAAGGAGGATTCAATGTAGAAAGGGATAATATGAACTGAGTTTTCCACTTAATCCTCCTTGTCTCATACAGATGTATATTCACTTTTGTCTGGACATATATATAAGGGAAAATACGGAAGCCGTTAGCGAGTTGACTCACTTAAAAAAACCAAATCTAGAAGAGTATCGAAACGGGTAAGGAAGTTAACTAAATTTTAGTGAACTAGACACAAAAGAAAGGTGTAGTAGCATAAGTTGAAATCATCATTCCTGACTAAAATAGAACCCCTTATAACAGTCTCATCCAATTCAGTGAATTCATCAGCGAAAACGGATAGTGCAGAAGGAATGTAGCCCAAGATCACAAAAATATTGGTGATATAAATGTATTTATTCAGTTGTTATGCACATCACTTAACGTTACACGATGTACAAAATCTTTTGAAAACCAAAAACATGTGCAGTTAAATTGACACCAACACATTTGTAAACATAGCTGCATTGCCACGATATTTCTATTATTGAAATGAAACCGACAATAACTTAAGAATATGTAGTAATACTGAATTATCATCGTAAAATTGTTTGACAAGGATTCTATAATTGCAATTACGATAAAGCTAATATACAAGTTTAGGGGTAAGAGAAGTCGGGAAATAATTCATTTGATTTATCATGCGTGCGCGACTAGAACTAGGTACTTCAGGAATGGATTTCTGACCAACAGTCATTGTTTTTATGTATATTCTCAATTGAATTTTATTTTGTAGAACGATAAGTTCTAATTTATTGATATAAATGGATGCATAGATAGTGCGATTATCTGACAGAATTCCTTAGATAAATTGAACACAAAAATAGGTATCTCATTGAAATATCATAATGGTTGGAAAAATATACGACCCAGGTTTCCAAGTATGTCACCAATATTGGGGTCATTTAGTCCCTTTAACTGACCCTAATGTAGCTTATATAATAGTTTCATTTGTCATATTACGTTCAAAGTTATGTATAATGTTTTCGTAGAAACTGGGTAAAAATAAATTATAGGGCCACAACTGAAAAGAAATATTATAGCAACATCTCGTACTTACATAGGTAATGGTTGATGATTTGCTCCTGACAGATTGTGCATGTGAGAACCAGGAGGTACTTCAGAATATAAAATACTGTGCCCTGAAATAAATTAAAGGAAAATGAGACATTTTATTAACACCTATAATGTTTGATTGTGAGTATTCTTTATTTTTATACTTTATCGTTTCAGTCATCAAAATTCCAGTAAGACTGAGTAATCATGATGCAGTAAATGAGTTGAAAATGTTATCTAAAAGAGTGGTTTGGCCTAAAAGTAGTTAGGTCTATGAAATGTCAATGCCTAACCTAAAGTAGATGAAGTGTGTTACGAACCTGACAATCACTGACTGAACATCAAGTATTTTAAACAATAAGCCAAATATTCATGACCGGAAATAATATTAGCCAGTATCGTTGAAATAACATCCATATAATTTATTTTAACGGAAGTCCATAGAGCGAAATTTTGGTCAGGAAAACGAAAGTACAATTAAAATTTACTTAACATTATTTGTTCATCAGTTTAATCTAAGTGTGGTAATATGTACATAAGTCATAGCTAAAAAATATTACATTTTCATTTTACATATATCTCTTTTGGTTATTTCTAGTTAATTTATAATTTATTCTTCAATTAATAGACTTGAAAACAGATAAAGATTAACATATGGTTTGTCACCTCAAGTGGTGATAACTTTAAAGAGCGAAAATTAAGTAAAAATATAGCTTACCGGCTCTTGTATAGTCTGCAGTAATCATGTCTTGTTGCTGCATTACATTTGTATAGCAGGTAACGGCCACTAGATTTCGTGCAACACCACTCGACCCTTGATTCGATTCGTTCAAACTGTTGGGGGAAGGTTGGACTTGTACAGGTTGGGGAGGTACATATGTGAAATTAGATAAGTTAGCACTTGGTCGATTTGCTAAAAATAAAGGATTGAGCTGTTGCAATCGCCGATTTGGTAATGGACTACAAATAGTATTCACTGGTGCCATGAATCTCTGATTTGAAACAGGTTGACCTGGATGACATACAGCAGAAATACCCGTTGCAATGTCGTTCGGTACAGAAGATGGTTGTACAGCTGAAGCAATGCCGTTTACGCAAGAAATAATGCCGGTTGGTACAGAAGGGTCTGAGTTCCATTCGAATATAGATCCTACATGAGGACGACGAGCAACATTCATGCCAGAAAATTTCTGACGTTCACTGAAGCTACTTGTGAAAGGTGTAGTAACAACATTTGATGTTGTGGAGTTAGTAATGGCCCGTCCGAATTGAAACGATTTTCTCAAGGAATGTCCAAACTGACGGGAATGAGATTTCTGAAATAAAATTAGTAGCAAATTTTGAGAATGATGTTGCTATGACTTCAATGAACTACTACAGAGTTCCATAAATTCCACTTGGCTAGTACAAAAGATGGGTGAGGATGAACTTCCCTCTTGTTGGCAGTTTTGACCTTGGACTTGACAACCAATTAAAATGAAGCTGGAATTCTCATTTACACTATCGTAATCCATGATGGAGGGCATGTTATATCATCTGTCGTCTTTGCTGGCTTACTGTGAAATGCAAAGTATTCTACAACGAAAATACCGCATAATCATGCTACGGACATGTCGAGTGTAGTTCAGTCAGTCATGATGGAAAAAATTATAACTTAGCAACGGTCATACATCAAATTAATTCTGTAATAGAAATTATTCCAAAATATATACAGCTTACTGACTGAATAAATGAAAACATAACCATAATTACTAACTACGATACGCTTAGATGACTCGGAAACATGGGGTTTATCCCCAGCCCAAGCGATAAATGAAATACAAGCCAAGCAATCTTTCTATGTATGGAGAATAACTGTGCCTAGTCGTCAGAAGATTTATCTACTTTGTAGTGATTTATATCTATTGATGGGGGTTGACTGAAGAGCATTAACTAGCGCTTGATTAAAAGGAGTTGGCCTTCTCCACTGCGCGTCATTTTGCTTCGCTCTCTTTTCGCTCCCTTAACTCTGTTTCTCGGATTGTCTCTTCTGATCAACGATTGTACAAAACATACAAGTTCAAAACTTCATTCTCGCGTTTGACTTATTTAATTCCTTTATTCTCCAACTCGATTCAAGTCGATGATTATATATGAGGATAGCCAGGATGTATATTTCGACAGCAATCATTCGATAATGATCATTTGTCCAATCTAACTTGAGTCAGATATAGAGTCACGACCCTATCTAAGTTGGAAGAGCGTTGAAAACAGAAGTACTTGAAAGTCATTTTGTCCCTGTAACGAGGAATCGAACCCTAAACATTTCATTTCGCGCGCCAGCGCGTAAAGTCTAGACCACTTAGCCGAAACTCAGTGGTGTATACGTCTAACTTCAATCAGTTGGCGATATGCTTGTGGTTATACGCATCTTACCACACACATTTCAGTAAATCAAAAAAAAAAAATTGATTATTTAAGATTTTATCATAAATAAACAGTCATTGTTCTATTATCTGCTATTTTCACTTGTTAATGAAATCCGTGTTCCTTATCTGTAAGTGCTCAAATATGACAAATCAGAATTGTCTGTTGATTCATTAAAACTCGATAAGTACCAGTATTTATTATTTGACGTTAAAAGGTGCTGTTAACTAGCAAACATGATATTGATGAGTGCATTGCAAGAAGCATTCATGACTATTGATTTTATTGCACGATTTAAAAGTTCTTACTCAGGAGTTATTAGATCTCGTTTACCATGCGTTTCATTTTCATATTGACCAATTAAATATAGTTCATTATGCATACATTGAAAACCCGGGCGTAAATTCCTCTTTTAGATAACTTATTGTTGTGGTTTTAAAGCAGAAAATTCTACTATATTAGCATCCATAATATACCGATAACATACACCAAATGTCCCAATTACCTAAATTACCTTATAAAGATCTGTATTAGAATATTTTAAGCTTGTTTTTTATTTCTGTTCATTCAGAACAATGTCTTTCCAGTAAGCATGAGAATAAACTGTTGCATACAATCATGATCTGTAATGATATATATATATATATATATATATATATATATATATATATATATATATATATATATATATATATATATATATATATATATATACTGGAAATAGCTTACTGAAGCAGCACTATATTCTTTCACATCATGTGCATTTGTATGCTGATCTGTGGTAACGCCAATCCAAAAACAATCTTGACACAAATTATAATGAGGACATCGAGTACATTTGTAGCGTAGACCGCAAATTGGTTCACGTTTACAACCCTCACATCGTACGTTATGTCGGACTATAATGAAATAACATTAAAAAAACATTTCAATGAAAATAAATTACCTAATTAGTCAAGTTCTTATAGCTAAAATAACTCTTTATGTCATTATATAAAACTAAAGAGAATTCAGAGAAAACTTTTCTTTTCGACGAAAACATTTACTTAAGTTGTATATTCGTGTTTATAGCTTTATGGTATGTATATGTTTCTAATTAACTGAGATTCAAGTTGGAATTTATTCAGTGAAATATCACTCACACTTAAAAAAATACTGAAACCACAGTATTAGGTTAAAGACAAAGATACATATACCAATAAATACATATTTTATGATATCAAATAACGTATTTGATCAAATGTACTAAAAGCAAATGTTAAATATGTTTGATGTTGATAAATGACTTTCGCCTTCTGATCGAATAACGAGTGGTACATTTGAATGGATACATTAAGCGGTGAATTTTTAAAAAATGAATACTATTTTCGTAGTCAATTTGAAACATTGTAAATCACTAAAAACTGGATAGATGTTTCTCTTCATTTAGTGAAAGTTTGTATTAAATGACACCTGTCAATAAAGTAAATCTCAGAAAACATTAAGTTAATTAGTAACTAACAGCTCATTTCTGGTATGTCTTGGTTTATTACCGCTAGTCATATAGCATACATTATATTGTACCTACTATAGGGTTTATGAGAAAAACCAAATTAGTTTTAATCGGTATGATATCAATGCTTAGACAGACAGTTATGTAATCATTTCTTCTATTTCAATGGTTTATATATATGTTAAATTACTCTAAATACGATTGTACAACTTTAAATAATGATATTACCAACAAGATCCTTGTTTACATTGGTTTACCCTTATTTTTTTGAATGACACAACAGGTTTTATTTCGTTAATTTTCCGGAAAATGTTCAATATACCACTTACCATTCGCCACACTGATTAACCGGTGAAAAATCGTAAGCCATACTAATATTTGTGGTCCTTGATCCGATAGCATACGATCCAAAAATTCTTCAAGGACTACGTTTTTAGAACGCTTTTAAAATAAAAATCAAACAGTACACAATAAAATCAACAGGACGAAAACATTCAATTATCTCATTAAAATTATTTTGAATTTCATTTTTATGTGATTCATAACTAGAGAAACATTTTACTGAATCTAAAATATATAACAACTCCGCCTGGAGTCCCTCCGGGGGCTACTGCCATATATATATATATATATATATATATATATATATATATATATCAATGACCAATCTGAAGTTTGAAAATTCAGAATGAGATAAATGACAGTCAAAATCTAAAAAAAAGTGGTCATCCATAAACCACTTGGTGTAAATAGAATGTTTATTATTCCTGAACTTTCATACCTGCTATTCAATGAAGTAAAACTTGGCTTACTAAAGAATCTATTCAATACATTTAAGCGTATTTAGACTCGATATGGAATATTTATCAAACTCATGACTGACAAGTAATTGCTAAACAGAAACCTATTGAATTTTCTCGAAGTAGAACTCAAGTGACATAAAAACTGCTTGACTTTTAGCGTTCAGAGAAAGTGTCTAAATCCCAACAACATACAGAGAAAAAGAAGTTTTATTCCGAAATGGAGACAAGACACAAATACACAACCAAACTGATTGCCCCTGCAAGGACGAAAACATAATTTTATACAGACTTTTTAAAAATATTGTAATGCATCTATTAATTAACTTGTTTAAACAAATATACAAAGGAGTAATTGAAATATGTAGCAGTAATGCTTTCAACCCAGTTAAAATCACTACATCAGATAACTTCAGTGGATAAAAACCGGTGATTGTATTACTAAACACAAATTCAATACAGGTGATAGTAGAGACATTGAAACGGCTCTAAAATATTGTCACAGAAACTGTCAAGGAACAATCCAAGATATATCGAAGCCTTAATCATTTGAAAAGTTTATGGTTGCTTATGTATTTAGATTCAATTTGTTCTTACACCAAACCTATCTTGTTGATTTTTTTCTATGACAATAGTGTAGTGAAAAGTTTTCATTCTTCTACACTAAAATATCTATATATTTTTTCAATGATCACAGTTTATTTACTAAAGCTACATCAGCTTGATAAGAATTTGACGATGCTAATTGTTTATCCGTTCACGATGAGAATATTCCTTAAGCATTATCATTTTAACGACTAGATTGAACTGTATTTTGCTATCGTATATACGACGAAAAATCTTTGAATGACATTGAACACTAAGATAAATATTATTTAAAAGCTACTCCTACAGCTATTCAAATATCATAAAGAACAGTCAATTAATTACACATTTGACTATCCAAGAACATTACTACAAATTCAATTGAAACATACCCCAGTAAACATTGTTTGTGAAGCTTGTGGTGTGTAGTAGAAATTTGTGCCTTCGAAAACACTTATAGGTAATTTGAGTAAATCTTGTAGATAAGCCTCGAATTTCGAGAAAATTAGTGCACCAGATGGATCGGACAAAAGAGTGAAGTGATCTGAAAAAGAAAGTGAATAGCTTAAAATTTAATGTTGAACAGTAACACTTATAGTGATCGGTAAAAACTTTTGATATAACGATTAGAAATTGTAGAAATTGTAGGTTTTATGGAAGAAATATCCGCGAAAACATGATAACAACACGTCTCTAATAATTGAATATCGTCTGACATTTACTGTTTTATCACCATATGATTCGTATGTGATTAAAACATAATATGGCAATAATCTATCCTGATATTTTTAATAATTTGATAAATAGCAATGAAACAGTTCTAATTCTTAGAAATTTAAAGGGTGACGATGACTGTATTGTTAATAACAAACAATATGTCGAATAGCAGATACTACCACCATGTAAAGTTCATTGATTTTGTGTTTCAAAATTTTATGGAGTCACTTATTAGTCCAAATGTCAGCATAGTGAAAAAACCGGATGGACGATTCAAACAGTTACGGAAATAAAGAGATACAATTTGACGACCATCAGATTAAGCAAAACCCATTCCATACAATCTAAATAGAAAATATTAACTTCGACGGAAATACTGTTGTACTCTGATCATGAAGAAGAAAACGTCTCGCACACACAGTGAGTTGGGTTGATGTATCCACACAAGCATGGAAAGCACTTACAAGATGAGAATCTCATGGATCCAGAATCATCAAAGTATTCCTCAAAACAAAGGAGGAGGAGATTACAATGAATGTCGGCGACGCTACTCTCCCACCAACCACATCATTCAACATGATAAAGATCAGTTTTATGAGAGGCTGCAGTCAATCGTAGAGAACTGCCAATGCAAAGACCTGGCAATTGTGATGATGGTGAAGCTGAATATCAAAGTCGGTATGGATAACACTGTGTCTGACGACATCATAGAGCGACATGGATTGAGAGAAAGAGAGGGGAGAATGGTGAGAGACTAGCAATGCTAGTTGTTATCAAAAACATCGTTGTAAGTGGCACTATTTCAACTAATAGACGAATGTACAAATTACATGAGTTTCACCGGACCACAATACGTAGAAGCAAACTGGTCATATTTGTATCACTGAAAAATTCAAAAGGTTCACGAAAGACAAGAGGAAATACCTGGAAGACCTAGCAATAACAGCAAAGAAAGGTGCATGAGAAGGAAATATGCGACAAGTGTGAGATAAAACGAAGAAACTATTAGGGAAATATAGTATATCACTATAGATCAACTTCCTTGACTTTGAGAAATCATTTGACAATTTGGATTGGTGCACCTCATGGAATTTTCCTCGACCATAGGGTGTACCTGAAAACATCGTTAACGCCAAACAGAATTCATCCGACGGATTACACTGCAAAGTTGTCCATGGAGGACAGCTCATAGATGTATTTAAAGTGAAGACCAGTGTCACACAAGGATGTTTACTCTCGCCCTTTCGCTCCATTCTGGTGGTTGACTGGATTATGTAAACCTTCATGTCTTACAGGAAGCACAGAATTCAATGGACACCTTGCATGCAGCTAGACGATCTGAACTTCGCAGATGACCCGGTTCTTCTATCCTATATACAATAACAAATGAAGATGAAGACAGCCAGTTTGGCAGAAGCCTCTGCAACAATAGGCCTCTATCAACACAATGGCAATACAGAGAAGACCAATGGAATCACACTTGGTGGAGTCGCTCTGGAAGAGTTGGAAAGTTTTGTCTACCTAGACAGGATCATTTATGAACAAGGAGGATCTGATGCAGATGGGGAGGTACGTATCGGTTAAGAAAGGACAGTATTCCTATAAATGAAGGACGTATACAATAGAAACCAATTGTTAGCCAGTACCAAAGTCAGAATGTTCAATATAAGCGTCAAAACTGTTCTGTAGTACGGAGCTGAAACTTCGAGAACTACAATGACCATCATTAAAAATAATCAGGTATTTATAAACAACTATATATGCAAGATACTTCATATCCGTTATTCAGGAACCGCCAACAACAGTCTACTGTGGCAGCAAAACAACCAGCTTCCATCTGAACAAGAAATTAGGAAAAAAGCTGAGGGTGGAAATAACCTAACTGACTCACAAAGAAAGCTTTATCATGGGATTCCCAATGCAAAAGGAAAAGAGGTAGTCCAAAGTACATAGTGCGCGGGGTATTGGAGGCAGACATCAAAAGAATTAACAGCACAGGACAACAACTGGGAAGGAGGGTCCAGGAGAGATTTGTTGAAGTATTCTGGTCGTCGCCCTATGCCTCATGATGGTTGACAGACATAAGTAAGTGCTCAAAAAAACAAGTGGATTCTTAATTATAACTTTCATTGTTTCAACATATATGGATAATGAATAAATGTATTAAAACATTGATAGACACACGAGGCTATAAAAATGATCTATCTATAAAGAAGTGTCTAGTTAGTCAAGAAGGTACAAGTGTTTATAAATAGCTATCTACGCAAGATACTCAACATCCATTGGCCGGATACTATCAGCAACAGCCTTCTCTAGGAGAGAAAAAACCAGCTTCCAGCTGAAGAAGAAATTAGGAAAAGACGATGGAAATGGAAAGAACATACATTGAGAAAATCATCAAACTGCCTTACGAGGCAAGCCCTAACTTAGAATCTTGAAGGTAAGCGGAAAAGAGGAAGGCCAAAGAACACATTACGTCGGGAAATAAAATCGGATATGAAAAGGATGAATAACAAATGGAAAGAGCTGGAAAGGATTGCTCAGGACAAAGTTGGATGGAGAATGCTGGTGAGCGGCCTATGCTCCATCACGAGGAGTAACACGCGTAAGTAAGTAATCTCAAAATTCACTGGTAAAAAAATATTTTAAATATTCTAATGAGCAGAATAATTATATTTTCTGAGGTTTCGTAACTTAGTGCAAGCCACTTCTTCAGAGGACAAATAAACAAATTAAATTAACCCAAGTACAAAGGAACAAAGCAAAAACATATAGTACGACCAATCAAAAAAACAAGTTTGATCAATGTCATTTCACTCCGATCAAGGTGATCTATGAAAGACATGATTGTGTATTTGTGTGTGTGTGTCTTTATGGTCAGAAATGTAACATATGTGATGTGACAGGATAGAATTGAATTTGTATGTGTTCTAATGGTGTGAGTTGTGAATGAGATCATACATGGTAGCTCGGATATATGATCGAAGTCCAAAATAAAATTACAAAAATAAGTCGGTTACCAAGTGAGTTCTGGGGATCTAGCATCCCCAACACAAGTTGATGCCAAAACTATCAATGTAATACAAACATGTTTTCCGAACTACAAAGAAAGCCGAGTAGCTGAAGCTTTCTGTATATTGCTAAACCATAGTACTTATTATTTTCCAAACATGATTTCAAATTATCACTTTACATCTATTGAACTTTTATTTAGTTGTCCTTTACTGGCTTTCATGTTAGAAATTGTTATATCTAGAAGGTTGTTTACTTAATAAACCGCGTATAATTGAGCACTAGAACGCCAAAACCCTTCCAAATCGCAAGGATAATTATTCAATGAACAAGATTTACCGTGAAATATTAAAATATTTTCGAAAAAGCATTTAAAAGCACTCACATCGAAATTTATCAGCTGGTCTCGCATTGGTTAACGTTGATAAGGTTATTTTTAGTCCAGTTACGCTAAGTCGACCAGTTGCACATAAGTCCAAAGCATACCCAAGCCAACCAAGTAGGATTTCTGCTGCAATAATTATTGCAGGTCGATTGATTGCATTACTTGGTGTAGTTTCATCAGTTGTGGTATTCACATTCATATTTGTTGTAGGTATATGTGAATAAATACGTGATAGTAAACGGAATGTACTTCCATAATCTAAACTTGCTTGCGGATCATTCAATTGGTGTAAACCGAATTCTCTGAATGTCTCTACCACGCGCCATAAATCCATTATGTTAACTTTTATAATATAAAATGATAAAGAAAGTAAATATAAAATGAATGGTTATTTCTTGAAAATAAGATATATTGCTGAAAAATTATCATCATATTAAAACACAGATATATAAACGAAAAGTACTATTCTCAATAAACGCTCTTTAGGTTCTACAACTATTTACTTAAATTCATAATCCAATAGGTGGAAACGTACATGGGAATTTACGACTGTTTGTAATATAAAGCAAAATTAAAGATGGATGGTGACTAGCAGTAGAATCCAGGACGCGCGTTTTGTTCTATTTGGAACTCATCAGTTGGATGTAACTGTAACCCACAGTTGATGTTCATTCCAAGACTCTGACTCATTATTGTTCGCTTTAAACGCCATCACGTTATCCACTTAGCTACTGAGTCCAGACAATCACTTGCCTGTGCGATCGGGTGAAGTTCTTATTCATTTTTGTATGGTTTATTGGAGTGTGCCCATTGATGTTTAGGACTGCGATTGATCAGTCTCTTATTGGTATATGTGCATCTTGTGCGGATTGCCTTGATATTGCCTTCAGTCAAAAGCATTTTAGGTAAATATTAAATGGTTCGAGTCCCAGACTGATAAAATCTAGGATGTAGGTGCATCGGACTGACGATTCCCAAATAGGACAAAACGCGCGTCCTGTATTTCACTGCTAGCCACCATTCTTGTTTGCTTACAATAATATTTTTTAGGTTCAAACTCTACCCGACCTACTTTGATAATTGTAATCTGGAGTGTCTCTGACATTCACATAAACATAGTGTGACTCAAAAGCAAGTAGGAATACCTGTATCTAGTAGATGAGTTACAAATACATGAATCACCAATGTACATTATACGAAAACAATAATAGACGGAGAAACGATAAAGACAGCTTTTAAAAATAAACTACCTACAGTTGCAAGTTGTCTTGTAAAATTATTAAGTTAGTGAAGGATTTCATGCAGATGAAGTGAAATGATCAAAATGTTTTTGTACCGAAAGTCAAGATGAGGATTTTCACTATATTCAAATACTGTGAAACTGTTCTATCAAATTTAGACGAAAGTTCTTATCTATTATTCTGCAATCGCATTAAAATATTTTTGTTACAATAATCGAAAGTATTAGAGGGGTAAAATGAAATAAGGTGATATCAGAAAAATTACGTAATCCAGTATAATCCTTCTGTTACATCATGTCTATTTTTCGTCCACATATCCCCAAGGTATTAATACTTTAGTAAAATCATTAATATTGGGAGGACTTCAATAAGTTTATACGTTAAATAAAATTGTGATATAAATGACCAAAATAAATATGGTTAACATCGTGAGAGAGATAATAATGTAATTACAAATCGGAAATCACGTAATGTGTAGATTAATAAGAATTAAGTACGAATTAGTAAATAGGAGTGGATGCTGAATAAATTTCTCAAAGCATTTTCTAGTGTAATAATAATAATATGTGACTAAGATAAGTTTAAGCTGTGAAAATGCAATGAAGAAGGTTGTATAAACATCAATCGAATTACGTCACCATATCACCACAGGATCATTAACTAATTAGGTCAGAAGTTGATCAAAGTAAGGGAGCGGTTCGACATATTTTCCCCAGACGTAAAGCTATGGCTTTTTGATTCGAATAGCTATTGTTTCAACCGTCTGATGGATTCTTAGTCTGACGGATTTAGGAATATAGTTGTTGACACGACATATTACTGTAAATGATTGCACTATGTTGGTTTGTACCAAATGAACTAAAATCGAGCTGTTAACAGTTTTAACTGTACCTTCGCTTAACAATACTGGAAGGTGTTCGCTAGCACGAATATACGAACTCCTAAAACACCTGCCAATATAACTTGCTCCACAAGAGCAGTTGAATTGATAGATACAGAAAGAGATGTCTAGTCCAGATAATTTATCACCCAATCTCGGAGTTACCATCGAACGTATGGAAAACATTGTAATTCACCTGTATTTTATTTTATTTTATATTAGAAATAATCATAAGTTCATACGTTATAATTTTAAACGATGTACTTTGCCATTAACCCGACCACCTATAAGATCATTAATTTGGATAAATAATTTTTAGACCTGAAGAGAATTTATTGAGAAGAATATTCTTCATTTATAGATGTTTTAATAAGATGTACATAATTTTTGTTTATATGTACACGTACATGAATACATAAGTGGTTCAATTTCATTTAATTATTAAACAGAGTAACATTATTTTTCGTTATCACTTCATTAATGGGACATATTCAGTGTTATTATGACCACATTTTAGAAATTATTTACTACATAAAATATAAATTAGTCTATAATATTAAACCTAAGTTAAGTATTACGAAATAAAAACCAAACATCACTTTGAAACTGAAACTAATTCAGTTAGAAAGACGAAGATAATCAGATCAGTGATATATTAGCGCAAAACATTTCGAACAATCTGATCACACCTATACTTGTTAAGAACATAAGAATAAAAGGTTAACTAGACTAGAAATAGAGGTTAGGAGACACAGATAATAAAGAAATAATGTGAAAACAATTTCAAACCTCATCACTCTGGGTAATAAGCTAATATTATCAGGGTAGGTTTAAGGTGAGAATAAACAGTTTTTGATAAACAGAGGGGATTTGAATTTTCGTATGGTTAAGTCTTCAATAAGCCTTAGTATACGCCTTTTTACACTTTTGTGCAACATCACAGAAGGTGAGTTAAGATCAATCTTATGACCTGTTTCAATTATTGCGTTTGGCGATAGACGATGATGAATGTTTATCCTCTACTCTTATTGGGTCATTTGATTTTATTTGTTTCTGCAACCATTTAGGTAGATGCTCACACACCCTAATTTTGAGATCACGATTACTCGTCCGTATGTATGTGGTCACACATACACATTTAAATTGGTAAACACGGTGGGGAGTGACGCAATCGTTTTCTTATCGATGAAGCACGAACCTTGTTGTTTCTTTGATAATAACCTTCGCTGCACAATATGCCTTGTTAATGAATGATTTAAGCCTTTGTTTCAATAAAAGGATATTTGAATCACCTCTAAATGATTAGGTGATGTAGACAGGCTTTTTCTATGCCAAAGCTATGGTAGGTCCCACTGTACCATGAACTTTCCATCTATTTATGAGTTTAAGGGGATAGCCATTTTCCATTAATGTTTTATTTGACAACCTAACATCGAAATTTATCAAAGGGACTAATTTACTTTATAATTCAATCAGACCTAAGGTCTCAATAAGAAACTTGTGTAAAATCATTTAATCATTTCTATAGTCAGTCAGGTGTTTCAATATTATTCGTTCACATGTCAACAGACTTTTTAAAAAACTCAAGTTTTTTTAGGCTGAATACATCTATTTCGATTTCACGAAGTTTTTAGATTTTCTTTGAATTCATGTTTTGTCAGAGGTCTGAGGAAAGAAGTGTTTAACCAATGACTTGTTGTAACAATCAATCAGTGGGAAAGTCATAAAAAACAAACCTAAATCAGTTTACATCTATACAGAGATGCAATTAATAAAATTAAAAGCATAAGAATTCAAACAATAGTTAGTATCAATGGTAATGAAAACCAAATATAGAGAATAGATTTTTTAACCGAGTTGGATGGTGACTAGCAGTAATATCCAAGACATGCATTTCCTCATATTTGAGACTTGTCAGCTGGGTATACACCAACTTTCAGATGCATTCATATCCAACCGACAAGTCCCAAATATGATGAGACATGCTTTCTGGGTAAAACTACTGGCCACCATCCAACTTTGCTTAGTGACAGTTTTGAGACAGTCCGTATAAGATCTACACAAGTCGAAAAAGATTGATCGATTGTAGTCATAAACATCAGTGGGAATATTCAAACAACCATAACTACTAGTGAGGATATAGATCCACCTGATCACCATAGTGGCTGAATTTGGAAACCATCTCAATTGTGACAGTTGTACCTTAAACCGAAATATAATTGAAGTGGGGTTCGAATCGTACACCTACTATTTGAAAGTTGGAGGTTACTGCCATCCAGCCATCACTGTGTTTCATGAAACTCAATATAATTTCAGATGGAACGGAAATTTAAAATACAATTTCATCTTATTAGGATCACAATACTGCTAAAGAGTATTATTTCGAATATTTATAACCCCTAGTCTTTTATGAATCCTATTATGAAGTTTAAAGTCAGTCTGTTGATTATACACGCCCATTTCATATGCTGAGGATGATAATCTAGGATTTTAAATGTAGCACAGAGGTATAGATGTGAACAGAATTTTAGTGCTGATTAGAATGTAAAACTAATCAAATGATCACCCAAATTCAACATGAATACTAGACTTCATGTATTTGAACAGGTTGTCCAGTTTACAGCACTTCAATGATCAAATATTACACATTACTATTAAAGGAATCTCCCCAACTGATTATTGTCCACTACATATATCTCGTATTTATGGTGTTTTTCTTTAGGTTTTTTATAACCACATTTGTCATTTTATTCAATCTATTTACATTGCATATTCTTAGTTAGGCAAACGTTATTTACGGGTTCACGTGATCTATTTACGATATATTTCTGACTAGAATAAGTAATATTGTTTGCTTACTTTCAAAATGGAATATAACCACTGTAATGCAATTTTTTATCAATCACAAACAAACAGGTTATTTGTTATTTTTAAGTAGTTGTTAAGTAAGATAAAAGCTTTTGTTAGATAGAGAAGGTCACTAAACATTATGGTAGGATATTCATAAAGTATTCATGTAAATAAACATATTTTTATAATTTATGCAAATGTGGTTCAAAAATATCTGTATCATTCATCAACAAATTGATTTTGCTTATTGAAATTATAGGTTCGATTTCAGTTAACAAATCTGGTAGTTTTTTTGTTGTTGTTAAAGTATTAATTCCATGAAGAGATGTGAACACGAATAACCAAGATGACGTCACAGAAAGATTATAATA